GTGGCTGGGCGCTTACAGAAAGGCTGGGATGTGCTCTTAGAGGGATGGAAGGTCTGGAGAGTGTTGAAAAATAACATCCTCTGGTTTTTAACGGGTTCTTGCACGGCCCATCCTACTGTGACGGCGCTTGGTGCCTGGAGAGAGGTCGGGTTCAGAGGCAAGGGGAGAAGGAGGTTCTGGTGGAAACGAGGGAAGGGCTGGGCACCAAAGGCCAGAGGTTAAAATCCAAAATCATCGGGTAGATGCTAAAATGTTAAGGTAAATCCCACAAACTGCAGTGAAGATCTTAAATGTGGCGCAGCCTGGGATGAGGGTTACTTCCGCCGCCTTGGGATGGAGGGGATGGTGTGAAGTGCTGCGGCACACGTGCCAGGATGCAAGATGTGGGTGTGCCCGGGGCTTCCGGATGCAGTTAAACTTCTGCAGGTGCCAATTCATCTATTGACAGGAAAAGCCCCAGGAACTCCACCTGTTTGTTCTGCATTAGTGGGGGTTTTACACTCTTCCTACAACGTATAAGCACTGAGGTAGCTCATGAAATACCTTCCGTGTATTTTCCACGTTGTGCACCTCTGCTTCGGGCACCGGCCTGGGTTTTGCAGCACGTCCCTGTTTGTAACAGACGTTTCAGCCCAGAAAGCTGGCGCTGTCATCAGCAAACTGAGCGCGGCTGGACTAAACTGAGTCCCCGGAACAGATGCCTGTGGGAACTGTCTGCTAGAGGAGGAAAACCCGGAATTACAAACTCCCTTTCCCTTCCCAAAGCAGTGCCACTGCTATAAAGAATTCCATAGTCTAGCCAAGACATACCCACCTCTCCGGTGTCACCAAGCAGTAAGCGCATTCTTACCTTGCCAGGGCCGGCAAACCGCACCGCCGGACGCTGCCTCTCCCCGCCGCAGCGTGGGATTGCGGCACGGCAGCCCGCAACTCAACGCGTTTCCCACGCCTCATCCTGGGCTACCTTCTTCGCTCAACTGCAGGAACAGGAAGCGGTCCAGGGAACAAAACACCGTCATATTCCACAAAATACCGGCTGCAGGGTTCATGGCAGGCAGACCCGGCTGTCCCGTCGTGCGGCCGAAGGAAAGCACGGAGCGGGGATGTGTTGAAGGGAAAACCCGCCTCCGGCTTCGGGAGAAGGCGCGGGGGGCCGGGTTTTTGACTCTAGGAAG